TTGCTGTTGCTGTTGCTGTTGCTGGTGTTGTTGTTGTTGTTGTTGTTGTTGTTGTTGTTGTTGTTGTTGTTGTTGTTTGTGTTGTTGTTGTTGTTGTTGTTGTTGTTGTTGTTGTTGTTGTTGTTGTTGTTGTTGTTGTTGTTGTTGTTGTTGTTGTTGTTGCTGCTGTTGTTGTTGTTGTTGTTGTTGTTGTTTTTTGTTATGTTGTTGTTGTTGCTGTTGTTGTTGATTATGATGTTGCTGTTCTTGTTCTTGTTCTTGCTCTCGCTGCTGTTGTTGTTGTTGCTGCTGCTGCTGCTGCTGCTGTTGTTGTTGTTGTTGTTGTTGTTGTTATTGTTGTTGTTGTTGTTGTTGTTGAACTCTCATTTCTGAAGAATGCTTCTGGTTGATCCCCCCGTCCGGTGCACATTGTTTTTTTCGATTGAAGTGCCCTTCCCGGGGCTCGCACCCTGTTTTTTTTATCAGGGAAAGTCTTGAGGGTCAAACTGTGTCGTTGGCCCCCGGTTTACAACAACAACGGCTCCCGCCTGAGACTTCCTCACAATTTAGCCAGGACCTGCTCCCGCCCGAGATTTCCTCGCGTTTTATTCAGGAATCGCGCTCTCGCTTGGGACTTCCTTAGAATTTGTTCTCCCAGCGCTCTGGAGTCGCGCTCTCGCTGGAGACTTGCTTGCAATTTACTGAAGAATAGCGCCGTTGCGTTGGAATTTCTTGCAATTTACTCAAGCGCTGTGCTCCCGACACCCAGGCACCCAGGAGTCGCGCTCACGCTTAGGACTCCCTCACAGATTACATAGAAATCGGGATCTCGCTGCCGTTCGTGGCCCCGTTGCAGCCCTTCGTGGCCCCCTCGCTTTGTTTCGTGGCCCCGTTGCAGCCCTTCGTGGACCCCTCGCTGCCCTTCTGGGCCCCGTTGCAGCCCCTCGTGGTCTCCTCGCTGCCCTTCGTGGCTCCGTTGCAGTCCTTCGTGGCCCCCTCGCTTTGTTTCGTGGCCCCGTTGCAGCCCTTCGTGGCCCCCTCGCTGCCCTTCGTGGCCCCGTCGCAGCCCTTCGTGGCCCCGTCGCAGCCTTTCGTGGCCCCGTTGCAGCCCTTCGTGGCCCCCTCGCTGCCCTTCGTGGCCCCGTTGCATCCCTTCGTGGCCCGTCGCTGCCCTTCGTGGCCCCGTATATGTATGCTCTTCGTGGCCCCCGCTCGTTCGCGCCCGTGGTGGCCCCATATGCATATGTCCTACGTGGCCCAGTTGCTACACTTAGTGGCCCCATCGTTGCCTTCTGTGGCCCCGCATTATCTGCCCTTTGTGGCCCCCGCTCGTTCGCGCTCTTCGTGGCCCCATACGCATTCCCTTCGTGTCCCCGCTGTCGCCCTTCGTGGCCTACTTCGTGCCCTTCGTGGCCCTGCTGTCGTTCTCTCTCGCTCTCGCCGTCGCTCGCGTCGCCGTCGTCGTCGTCGTCGTCGTCGTCGTCGTCGCCGTCGTCTTCGACGTCGTCGTCGTCGTCGTCGTCGTCGTGGTCGGTCCCCTGTCCGTCCCTCTTGGGGTCGGGTCGACGGTCCGAGGCCGCCCCGCCGATCAGCGCTGCCGCTGGCCAGGCCGACGGTCCGCGGCCGCCCCGCCGCTTGCTGGGGCCCGGCCTGCAGGGAAGAAAGGTCTACTCCCCAGGATGGGTTCGATCACAGACGAAGAGGGCGGGTATGAAGGGTTTGGGAAATAGGCGTTATTGGACACTCGAGCAGATACGGGCGAACAGTCTTAAAATGATTGTTGTTGTTGTCGTTGTTGTTGTTATTCTTGTTGTTGTGTTGTTGTTTTTGCTGCTGTTGTTGTGATTGTTGTGGTTGTTGTGATTGTTGTACTGCTGCTGTTACTGTTGCTGTTGCTGTTGTTGTTGCTGCTGCCTCTGTTGTTGTTGTTGCTGTTTTGTTGTTGTTGTTGCTGCTGTTGTTGTTGCCGCTGTTGTTGTTGCTGCTGTTGTTGTTGTTGTTGTTGTGGTTGTGGTTGTGGTTGTGGCTGTGGTTGTGGTTGTGGTTGTGGCTGTTGTTGTTGTTGCTTTTGCTTTTGCTTTTGCTGTTGTTGTTGCTGCTGTTGGTTGTTGTTGTTGCTGCTGCTGTTGTTGTTGTTGCTGTTGCTGTTGCTGTTGCTGTTGTTGTTGTTTTTGCTGTTGCTATTGCTGTTGCTGTTGTTGTTGTTGTTGCTGTTGCTGCTGTTGCTGTTGTTGTTGCTGTTGGTTGTGGTTGTTGTTGCTGCTGCTGCTGCTGTTGTTGTTGTTGTTGTTGCTGTTGCTGTTGCTGTTGTTGTTGCCTTTGCTGTTGCTATTGCTGTTGCTGTTGTTGTTGTTGCTGTTGCTGCCGTCGTTGTTGTTGTTGTTGTTGTTGCTGTTGTTGTGGTTGTTGTTGTTGTTGTTGTTGTTGTTGTTGTTGTTGTTGTTGTTGTTGTTGTTGTTGTTGTTGTTTTTGTTGTTTTTGTTTTTGTTGTTGTTGTTGCTGCTGTTGCTGTTGCTGTTGCTGTTGCTGTTGCTGTTGCTGTTGCTGTTGCTGTTGTGCTGTTGTTTCGTGTGTATGTGAACTGCACGCTTGCATACGTCCTCCGGGGGACCCAGGGCCACAGTCTCTGGGCCGAGGCCCTCGACTGGCGCTTGGGCGTGTGCATGTGTGCGTGTGTGTGTGTGTGTGGTTTCTGGTGGCAGGAGAAGTCCCTCCTGCGTCGAGGAGGAGGAGGAGGAGGAGGAGGAGGGGGAGGAGGAGGAGGAGGAGGAGGAGATTTCTGACGGCGATGGGATTCCAAGTTCGTCGTGGGCGTCGTCGGGAGTGCCGCTCTGTCCCTCCCTCTCTGCCTCCTCCCCCTCCCACTGCTCCTTGCCACTCCCGACAGGCTTCCTAGGCTCGGAGTGGAAGGCGCTGGGGGAGGTCGTCAAGGAGTCCGTCCAAGAGTGGGCCACGACCTTCGAGAGCGCCTTCGACGGCGATGGCGGGGGCGGCATGGACAGCGACGAGCTCTGAGCGGCAGCGGGGTAGGAGGATGCCCAGCCGCAGTGCGACGGCCCGCCATCGGACCAGAGTCGCCGTGCGGCCCGCCGGCTCTTCGCTTCACCAGCCCCCTCCCTCCCGCCCCCCCTGCGTGGTGGTCGCCGGCGCAGTCCTCGGCGTGAGGGTGGTGCTCCAGTGGCTCCGAGGGGTCCCCGCGGCGCTGCTGCACCGATGGACGGCCCAGCCCAGGAGTCCTACCTGCCGGTGGTCTCCGGCCCCGGGAGCCCAGCCTCCCACGGGCTTCTCGCGCCCGAGCTCCGGGCGGGCCGTCTTCTCGATGCCGCTCGGGCTGTGGGTGGCCTCGGCGCGGGGGGCCTGCCCTCCCGCCCGTTCTATTCCCGTGTGCCTCCCCGTCTCCTGTCTCCCTGGCTTCCTCGCTTTCTCCGTGCCCCTCCCCCCCCCTCTCTATGCACGTGGTCTGGCTGGCCGGCAGGGGGGTGCAAGTCGGATGGCGTTGGGAGTCCGCCCCGCTGCGCATGGGCCACGCCTGGTCGCAGACCGCTCGGCTGGGACGCTTCCCTGCGATCTCGGGCGGAGACGCCTGCTGCTGCTTCTGCGCCTCCTCGTCGTCGTCCTCCTCGGCAGTTCTGCCTCTGGTCTGGTCACGCCTCTCGACGACTGCTTCGCTCCCCCCTCGACGACTGCTTCGCTCCGCCCCTTGGCATCTTCTGACTCGGCCCCCCCCCTTCTGCGGCGAATTCCGAAACCCACCCTCGCCGATGAGCGATTCGGGCAACTCGATGGGCGGCGGGGGTTCGGGTTCGGAATTCATCGAACACGTAGTGAAATCCGAACCCTACCCCCGCCTCCCATCGATTCAGGAAAATCAGTGGTTGGTGGCGTTAGGGTTCTGATGCCGCCACCTGGCCCTACCCCCATCAGCAGCGCTCAAAGAGCGCTTCCAGCTCTGTTCGCCGCGGGGCCATCTCGGCCCTTCCACCCGCACGGCTGCCTCCGACTCGCACCGTCCTCCCATCCATCCCACGGGCTTGGCCAGAGCGGCCATCGGCCCAGACGGCGACCGAGTGTCTCCCGTCTTCCTCTTCTCCCTCCTCTTCCCCGTCCTCGTCCTCTTCTCTCTCCATGCCTGGCCCGCTCCCGCTTCCTCGCCGCGCCCTGCCGTGTACGAGGAGCACAAGCCCTGCAGCGCGCGGGTTTCGCACGCACGCCCCTCTCGACAGCGGGTCTGTCTGCTGCCCGTCTCCACCCGCCCCGTCACGCCGGCGAGCGCCACGCCCTCGTCCTCCCTCCCCGTCACCCCGCCGCCTTTCTCCCTCTCCCCGCCGCCGTTCTCCGGCGTCTCGACGCCTCCTTTCGCTTCTCAAGCCCCTGAGGCTGCCGCTCCAGGTCTCCTGGGTCCTGCTGCTGCTGCTGCTGCTGCTGCTGCTGCATTCGTCATTGTCGTCATCGTCGTCGTCGTCGTCCTCCTCCTCTCC